TTTTTTGAGTTACTCATCCAGTGTTGCATCAATCCTGTGTATTTTTGTACCCCACTATCATATTATTTTGTCTTGTAGCATGCACCACAGAAGTCTTTCCAGTAATTCCTGCACTGAGAAGGATTGATACTGGCAACTATTGAAGCAGCATCTGGTCTGGAGATGCAGTGCCCAATTTTGTCATTTGTACGTGCCCAAGTATTTTTAGAAATCAAGCTTAACTTTTAATACCCAAATATATTTTCCCCACTGCTGTTCACTTACTTTGAAGTCTTATAGAATGGGAATGCAAGGCTAAAATCAGGACAAAAAATGTCATAGGTAAGCACCACAAGAGAAAAAATGCTGATAATCCTTTATACGTAGTAATCCGTCTGAGTCATATTTTGTAGACAGTACTGTTACAAGTAAACCTAGTGTAAGATTACAGAGGCCCAAAACTTTTATAAGGAACTTTAAATCTCAAAGATTCAGAAACCTTTTGAAATGCTCTTCCTTCCTTGAGGCTATGAGAGATTTATGAGCATATGAAGCTAAGCAAAATTCATATTTTCATATTCATATTCACAGTTATTTCAGCTGAACTACATTTTTGTGTTAGTCAACCCCCAAGCTCACAGTACTGATGCTGGGTGTCATGCCTCAGGTATGGAAACAAGCCCCAAGTGAATGGAGCTGTGTGTAAGCCAACGCACCTACATCTTTTCTCAACTCTGAGTCTTTCATCTACAGCAACTCTTAGTCAATTTTGATTTCAGGAGTAGATTCAGGTCTAATTTCAAGCATCTTTTTTTCTCAGCTCCTCACCCACAGTTTCCCTTAAGGTTGGTAAAAAATATGAGACACTTCCTGGTGTAATTCTTCCCTCCAGCTTTGGATGCCTACATCAGACTGAGGTCAGTCATGCCCTAGAACAGCCTTTACTATAAAGATAAGCCAACTCAGAGGCTAAGGACCACACTGTAAAGATTTGTATTAGTTGGATCCCATTAGTTATCAAGATACTCTACCTTGTTGAAGAAAAAGTGTCCAGATGTTGTAGCAAGTTATGATACATAGTCCATCACATCTAGAGATCTCTCCTCGCATTCAAATCTAAAGGAAACGTGAAAAGTTGTTTTGTCTGCATGTTGTGCAGTGTTGTCCATTTGCTTCTAATTATTCAGATTAAAAACATTAGCAAAGCAAATTTCCAACTATTGAGATGGAATATAATCAACACCCCCAGATAACTCCTGCTCTAAGCTCCATTCCCGTAATGACCTTTGCTTCCTAAAATCATCATGAGAATTACAGTGGCCTTTAAAAGGAAGAATTAATGCAAAGCATCACAGAGTATTCTTTAAGACAAAAGCCAAGGGCAGCCTAGAGAAAAGCAAGGTTAAGATTCAACTGCCTGGTGCAGATTGAGTTTAGCTTTGATTGTCAGATGAAAAGAAAGGGCAGGACTCGTTTATTTAGCCTGTCCCTTGGTTTATGCAGCAATATGACAAGCTATGTAAAAGGAAACAGTTCATTCCCATAGAAATGCGTCTTGGAAGAGCTCATCTGTGACATTTTGGTCTTGGAGGGAAGGGCAAGAGAGCCAGAAAGGTTGCATGTCCTGACTGCATAAATGCCTCTTTGGCGGTTTAATGGAGCAGCAGAAGTGCCTGGCACAAAGGCAACTGTGTTCTTCACCTTCTCAGCTGGGGGAATGACCCACAGTCACTGTCATCATAGAGCACAACAGCTTATTAATGGAATGAAGGCAAAACCATACATGATTTCCAGAGCGAAGGGGCAGGAAATCCTTGTGACCTTGTCAAGGCTCTACTGATCTTAATAGGCCTGCCACAGAAAAAAGCTCTGCTTGAAAAGCAGGAGGGTGCTGCTCCCGCTGGAAGAGTTCAAAAACACTGGCTTGGAAACACTAATAAGAACATTTCCCACTGTTTTTTCATCAGAGCTTAGAAGTAGCAGTATATTGCAGAGCGCAGTAGCAAAATCTGTATGCTGAGTTCATAAAATACACATATGTTCACTTCTAGAAAAGAGTAACTGAAAGTTCATTTTAGAATGGATGAATTTGTTAAGATAACCTGTCCTGGTAGTAGTTCCCATGAAGAGGGCTTAATGCTTATTTCTAACCTCCTAGAATACTGCACAGATGAAGAAAATTAGCTTAATCACCAAGGAAAATAGCCAAGAAAGTAATTAATCTGTTGTTAAATATTAATTATATTTATTTTTCCCCATCACAGAATTTATAAGGTTGGCATGAATCAGAGATTAATTCAGAGGTTTTTATTTATCCTCTGCTGTGACTGGATCTCTTCTCAGTGGAGAGTGAATGAATTTATTCTACATCAGCTTTCTGCTTGAAAAGAAAGCCCTTTGTAAAAGGACTCACAGTCTTTGCCAGAGAAATCTAGGCAAAGAAGTGAAACGTTTTATTATCCAAGCTGTTTGATGATAATGAATTCTGCATTTGTATATTTGTGATTTTTTTTTACCTTATGCAGTTTATTTTTTAAAATGTACAGGACTTGTTTGGGAAGAAGATTTGTATTAAAGGAAAGCAGTCTGTTCCCTAGCTTTAGTATAACATCTGTTATTATCATTCAGTACTCCTCTTAGCCCAGCAAGCCCTTCTTCTAAATATCTTATTAATTAAACCAGCTTAGTAATGAAAATAATTAATAGTTCCAATCCTATACTTAGAAAGGATTTGGAAATGGAAGAAATTGTTTCACTCAAAGCTTCAAATAAGGACATTTTTGTCGTTCTTGAGCAGAAACTAATTAAAACTCAAAGGGAGTACATAAACAAACCTATCTATATACAGGCTTCCAAAAATACATATGCTATCCTCAAAATTCTGTTAGCCTGCAAAAATAGTCTGTGAATGTAAGAACTCTTGCTCCATAGTTAAGTGTCTTTCTTGGTGTTGCTTTAGGGGAGAGTCTTCCTATCCTTCAGGTTATCCTGGACATCCTATTCTTCTTTAGATTTAGGAAAAACTTCTACATGGAAAGAGTAGAGCATTGTGAAGCATTGCAGCAGGCTGCCCAGGGCAGTGGTGGAGTCACCATCCCTTGCATTGTTCAAGAAATGTGTAGATGAGGCACTCAGGCACATGGATTGGCAGGAATGGTGGTGATGGGTTTATAGTTGGAATGATGATCCTGAAGGTCTTTTCCAAACATATTGTTTCTGTGATTCAGAATGTTCTGCCAGCCTTGTCTAGTGCTCAGCCCCCAGGAGTATTAACTTCAGTCCAGAAAACTGCAGCATCTCCTGCCACTACTTTAATAATCTCATGGGAGTTGCTTGCCATGGCGTGGATAGCCTTCCTTATGCTGTTGACTAGATAAGAGGATGAGACAGCAAACGCCACGTGGGCGTCAGTAACCCTGTGTAAAATGGGCGCACACAGTTAAATTCTCAGCAGTTGCCTTGCATGACACAACCTTCAGACCTAACGTTGGCTGTAGATTTTTTAGCCTTCATCTTTCAGTGTGTGTGAGAACAGGATGTACACGTTGGTCTCATACTGTGTATAGTGTATGGAAGGCCAACATGTTATATGGAATCTATCCATGGACAGCTTAAGGTTTATTCCTGTGTCCCCGTGACATTTGGGCAGACTGAATGCTTTTCACGGTTGCCTCCAATGGAAGTCATTTTCTCATATCTATTGAGAAAGGCCAATAGATTGGCTGAGGTTCAGCAAGGCCAAGCAAGGCAAAGCTTGGTCATTTTCTCATATCTATTGAGAAAGGTGTTCAGCAAGGCCAAATTACTTTTTAAAGTCAAGCAATGTTTTAGCAATTTATTTGGTGGAAGAAAGCTCAAAAGTTAACTGTAGAGAGTTTAGGATTTTTTGGAGGGGGTGATAGCAACTATTTTTAAAGAAGATGGGAAAAAGCTTTAAATGGCACACGAGAACAAGGGCACCTAGACTCAGGTAAAATGTAGATTTGCAGCATAGGCAAAGAGCCTGGGCCGTGTGACTGCATAAGAGGTTTCAGGCCTTTTACCTTGGCAAAGAGACAATCTGTTAAAATCCTAACTGAACCTGAAGTTAAGGGCTTATGTTGAGGAGAAAGCATGGCTTTTATTAGCAGCTCACTGCAACTCTGCTTTCTTTATCCTCAGGGGCACCTGCTCCAAATGGGCTCTAAAAGTGGAGAAGCACAAATGTAGGCCATGAAGGAGAGCGCTGTTTGTAGCAGCTACGCCATCCCTGTTCGTGCTAAGCAGGATATATCTGACAGCAAATAAGTTGCAATGAATGCAGAGTGTCTGTACAAATGTAGCTAATTCACCAAGTATCTTGTGCCCCAGAGGGAAGCGTGTGCACGCAGCGGTGCCAGAAAGGGTTTCAGTCTCATGTTTTTGGGGAATGGGGGAGCGTTTTGCAGCCTCTTTTTCAGTAAACGTTCCTTGAGCAGGCTGGAGTGGCAAAATCCCCATCCATCCACATGTCTCATAGGGGAGCATATGGCTGAAGTGACCGTGCAGGTGGGTTTCTCACCGAGCGCGCGCAGTCATGGCACTGTGGCACATCACCTTCTGCGTTGTTTAAATGAACATGGCATTGCTGAAGGAGGTGCCAATCTCCTGCTGTCACATGGGAGCAATTTGTGACCACCTCTTTCGAGTGCTGTGATCTTTCACATCACCTTCCTTCTTACCTTTCCTTCTCCACTTTTTCTCCCTTTGCTGTCTCTAGTTCTCCACAGAAATTCTTGGGGCATATCTGCAAATTCAGCAATGGGAATACAGACATGTACTGAAATAGGTTCGCCTCTATCCTGCTGCACCAATAACGGCTATGCTACAACAACCAGCAGAGTTGCATGGAGCACCAATAGCCTTTATTTTAAGGCACTAATTTGCCACTGAGAGTAATAAGAGAGAGAGAAGTGTTTTAAATACTTAAAGGCACACAGTCCTTTAAAAATGGTCCTTTCCCTTATTTTGAATTTATACTGACCATTCTCCTTTACTTACAGCTTTGGAAAGAAAGATATCAATGAGGCAAAGCAGAGAGGAGCTTATAAAACGAGGAGTGCTGAAGGAAATCTTTGACAAAGGTAAGCATTCTTCTCACAACATCGAATTGGGATCCTGTATAGTTTTATGGCAATATTTTACACTAGTATAACATTAGTAACGTAGAGTATATTCCTGAATTGCAGAATCATACAGAATAAGGTCTCCAAAATACCCTTTTGATATTACCTCGTGTTGGCTCTCGCATTTTGCTTAATGACAGTTATGTACTAAACAAAATGGAGAACTAAACAGAAATGTGAAGCAGTAGAAATACAAATCAAAGCAGTTTGCAGGAGTTGCTGCAAAACAGCAAATCTTCCAGACTGAGGGAAAATGGCATGGGTCTCTACCTGCCTTTGTTATCATTCTTCTGGTTGAGCCATTGTAGGATTAACTACTGTGGAAAAGGGGAATGTTCTAGAGGACTAGATACTGCAAGTTGCACAGAACATATTCCCTTGAAACAGCTTAAAACCCATGATAAAGATTCCTTGTTCAGGATAAATAATTTGTTGATCTGCAAATGTATTATTTATGCAAAACATCATTGTTTTACATCTGTAAAGCAATAAATATTTGACATCTATTATGTATGTGTCAATCTTTAGCATAGCTTTTATTTGTTTTGCTGCTTACTTTGGCAACATTACAAAGGCAACAAACTAAACAAATTATAGAAAAATATGCTGAACTTTTAGTTTCAACAGAACTTAGGCATGTGCTTAAATGCCTCATTAATTCAAAGTCTAAAGTCTTTAGTAACATAACATGAACAGAATCTAACAGAAGTCAGAAAAAGTTGTGAACTTGCGCAGACAGTAGAAGTAGAGGCTGCCTCATAAAGTCTGGATGCTTCAAATCTGTTACATACTTTTTTAGTCTAGTTCACTGAGCAAGGAGAGTTGAATAAATAACTTACCCAAAATGATTATTTTTTAATTGCAAAGAAATTGCTGCTTATCATTATATCACTCTATTGTATACAGCTCATATATTTTAGATGCTTCTTTTTATCCAGCACTGCTTGTTCTCTCACCAAGGATCCCTGTGGTGCCCTGAAGCCACTCTCATCCCACAGGAATGTGCTATCCATCTGGGGTACAACCTCTGGCATCCAGGCTTTGCATCCCTAAGGGATCTGCTTCCCTACAAACATGTAAAGGCAGCATAGTGTAAAATCCCTCCGACTGCCTGCCCCTGCCCTTGATCATAAACGCTCAGGAAATTCTCTCATTTCGAAGTGCTGCAGACTTGTCCTTAGAATGAACTGACTGCAACTCCTCTGCATGCACATGTAGAAACATGAGTGTGGCAGAGCTTGGGGATATCCAAGGTTTGCACAGTCTGCTTCCTGACCTTTTTCTTTTGTCTCTGATTCTTTTTTCCCAGAAATTCTGAGCAATTGACTTTTTAAAAAGTCAATCTTTGTGTAGATTCCCAGTTGATCTTTTCTTTTGCTCCAAAATTAAGGAGTAGGTCTCAAATAAAAGCAAAAAAACTTCGTCCATTGAGATTACAATTGACTAAAATGATTGAACAGTTGTATGAATGGAGCTTTCTAATATCTTATCTGAGGAACTCACTCTCTCCTTTTTTTTTTTCATGTGTTGAAGAATAAGGAAGAAAAACAAGCACAGTCTTCATCTAATTGTGACAGTGTTTGTGTGTTTTTAGTTGTAAGAGCTGTCAGGTCAGAGACCCTGCCAGGAGACTACTGCTGATCCCCTTCATTCTGCCTACTCTGATTTCCATCATTTGGGGAAATTTTTTAAGTGTAAGCCCAAGAAATAAAAATCTGTGGTATTCAAGCATCTCAAGGATTTCAGCTAGCTGCTTGTTTTCTTGGCTGCTTGCATCCTCCATCTGTCAAATAATGCTATAGTTTGTAATCTTCTGTGTCACCTTGTGAAATAGATGCTAAGTTGTCTGGAGATTATCATCTAAAAAAAAAAAAAAACTTTTAAAAATCCGTTCCTTCTTTGTATTTTTCACCACTTCCTGTGCAAAAAGCAAAGACATTGGGCTTTACTTTTGACAAGTGCCACTAAAGGAAAACTATGACCCAAAACAGATGAACTTCTTATCCAGTATCTCCACATTATTTCCTGCTAGTTTCAAACCAGGAAGGTAAGAATTGGAACCCCGCCTTGAAGCGAAGAAATAGGGCAGAAGAGCAAGTGGTAGAAGATGGGTAGTGATGATGTACCTTTGCTATCTAAGCTACATATGATACAAGTAAGGCAGAATTTCTAGAACAAACGTAATATTTTCTTCATTGGTCCGACCGGTATAATAATCCAAGAGTAGTTCTAATAAAGGATATTATATCTCACAGCAAATCTTAAATGGAAGTAACATTTTCCATGTAATTCTTCTTATTAAATAACTTCTTTTCTAATCCTGCAAGGAGAAATAGTAGACATTAACACTTCATGGAAGAAGGCTATATTTAATGAGGGCAGTACCTTCCATGTCAAGAGGCATCTTGCATAGAAAATATGTGGAGAAAATATGTTACATCTATGTCTCTCTTTCATCAAAGGAGGACAAAGCAGACAATCAGTCTATGAGTGAGTAATTTTGCCTTCTCCTTTCTTAAAAAATCCATCCAAAACGAAGTGAAATTAATAGGTGCAGAGAGACCCAGAAACAAAATTTCTGCAGCTGCAGTGTGCATAGGGTGCTTTTTGCCATATTATCCAAGAAAAACAAGACTAGAGATCTAGTTCCTGCCCCATGCTTAAAGTTGCACCCTAACATGTTTACTTCAGTATTGCTGACTTCTCAGATGACTTTAAGTTGCCCTGCAAGTGAAAACTAGCAAAGTACTGTAAGTCACAGTGTTCACAGATGGGAAAGTCACTGAAGTTCCCCTCACTGTATTTGTGAAACAAAGAACACTTTTAGCACCTCCCATTCCTTAAGCTGTTCAAGTGAAATCAGAGCGAAGAGCTCAGTTCTTGACAAGGACCAGGTTCATGGCCCACTAGATTCCTGGTATTTTCCTGTGACTTGAATCTTATGAAAATATAAACGATGGTTATACATTTCCAAATGCTGAGTATTATTTATTTTTTTTTGGGGGGGGGGGAAATAGCATGTTGAAAAAGTATCTAATTAGATGTCTGCTGCTCCAATAATTTGTGAGCAGGCGATGCCAAGAAGTTAAAACATAACTTCCATTTACCATAGAAAGTATTACAGCACTTTGAAGAACTCAGCCTTCTAATCATTGACCATAAATCTTTTAATTATTCCTCCAGGTGCCTGCACAGACACAATTCTCCAATGTCTTGCAACCTCTCTGTGAAGCTGCAAAATATTATCATATACTTAAAGTCAGCTAATATGACTCTATGCACATATCAAAAATCTCTGTTTAGATAAACATCTAAAATACCAGCAGTTGGATGAACTGCTTTGTTTTTCGCTACAAGCAAGTTACAGCCATCCCACAAGTGTCTGTCTTGAGAGTTGTTCACTGTCCTGTGGCACTCACAGAACTAAACCTAATTATTATATTTTGATATCTCTTCTTTTGTTTGAACCTAGATTAGATAGTAAGAAATTTCTGAATGTGAGTATATTGTTTGCTTGCCTCAAAGATGATGAGGAAATGATTTTTTGAGAAAGAATGGAGCAGTCTTTACCTTTATGAACTCAATATTTTTCTGCTATCTAATCAGCATGATATACTTGTAGGCTGTTTCACAGGAATTAATTTTTAAAAAATACCTGAAAGTGGAAATGGCAAGCACTTAGTAGATGTTTTGGGGAGTGCAAATCATGGTTAGGGACCACAGCTTTTGAACATCTATTTGTCATCTCTTCATTTCTGGGCTTTCACACCACACTATTATTTTCACATGCTAAAATGAATTAGTGTCTGGATAATGCCCTCTCCATTAAAGAGTTTCCCTTCAAATTCTGTTTCTTCGTGTGCTGTACCTCCTGATTAGGAGAATCAGGATGCAGAACAGAATCCTTCACAGACTCCTCTTATTGCAGACCTAAAGCTACTATCTTTAGTCCTGTCCAGGTCAAAATGATTCACACTCAGGCTGCATTATCAAAGCTCATACAGCTAGGGAAAGGTATTCGCTAGAAAGTAATAGCATGCTCTACAAAAACACAGCAAAGGATTTAGCAAATGTGAGAACAGAAGATTATATATATTATCATTATGCTAGAATTAACTTTGAAGTCATACTCAGTTCCTGAAGACTAATGAATTCATCCGTATATAATTCATAACTGCATTACTAGGATCTTTTCATTTATATTTCAGCTAACCAGAATAGCTTTTTGTAGTTTAAAAATAATAATTAATTTGTCTTTTATGTCTGGTTGTCAAGCATGCCTCTAAGCCAGGATTAATTCACACTAAGAGATTCCTCACTCTACAGATGATCACTGTATCCACATCTTTCATTTGCTTGCTGAGCTATAGCAACTCCTTATATCGCTCTTTTTTAAATTAAATCAGATTTAGGGTACATATTTCAGTCATGATTGTGTGTCATGTCTGATGATTTCAGTCAAATCCAAGGACGAGGTTTAGAGTCTGAATGAAGATTAGAGCTATTCAGAGGGAAGATTAAAAGAGGTTATGCTGTCAGTACAGAGAGCTATCATGTTTGTTATTATGACAAAAACTAAATTCCATCACAAGATGATGGAATTCACGATCCTGCGAGGAGGAAGCTGGACAAGAAGTAGAGTTGCAACCCTGGACTTTAAGAGTGCTAACTTTGACTTCCTCAGGGAGCTCCTTGGAGGAATCCCCTGGGCAAGAGTCCTAGAAGGAAAGGGGGTCCAGGAGAGTTGGCTACAATTCAAGCACCACTTTCTCCAAGCTCAGGATCAGTGCATTCCTATAAGAAAGAAGTTGAGCAAGGCAGGCAGGAGACCTGCGTGGATGGGCAAGGAGCTATTGTGTAAAATTAATGAGAAAAAGAGCATGTACATAAGGTGGAAGAAGGGCCAGGCCACATGGGAAGAATATAGGAACATTGTCAGAGAATGCAGGGATGCAACG